GTCCATTCTTGCTGTGGAAAGTGAAGGTAAAGCTATTAGAGGTAAATAGTCCCTTGAAAAACCCTTTTCATTGAAAAGATGAAGAAGCTGTGTACCATGCCCCTCTGACCTTTATCATTAATTTTAAATACATTTGTACTTAAAATTTCAGTTAAGTTTTCTGCTTTCCTCTGAGACCATTAAGTTGTCATCTCAGTGGGACTGTGTAATCTGGAAAGATTTTTTCTTACTCCAGTATCTGAGATTCTTTAAAAAAACTACAATACACCAACAACCAACCAAACAAGAAAAAAACCCAACTAAAAACTTGTGATTGGAAAGATGATGTGAGATTTTGTGGGTTTTGCTCAGAGTGCATACATTTTTTTTGCAGGCATAACATTTGGGTTTTATACAATGCTTTCCATCTGAAGGCTTCTGAAATGTTCTGTGCTGTGCAACACTTTCACTGCCCTCCTGTCTTGGTAAATAAAGCATAAAGGCCTGAAGTGATTTTGGCAAAGGTTGAGTGACAGGTCAAAGCAGAACCTGGAATAGAGGCCAGGTCTCTTGTTTTCAGCTCAGTGAGCAGCGTACCAGACCATGACAGATGTGCAGTGGATGATAAGTACATTAAATGAGATGCAGTACTCCACAGTGAGAACAGCAGAAAATGCTGTCTCTAAAATACCTACTATTTTTCCAGTCTTCTCATTCTGCCAGTTGAGCTGGGCTTTGCCAATGTGATTTGACTTTATTCAGTGTTTGTCTTGCATCTGTCTAAAGACACCATAGAATCATTTAGGTCGGAAAAGAGCTTTAGGCCATTGACTCTAACTCTTAATGCTGCACTGTCAAGTCCACCACCAAACCATTTCCCCAAGTGCCACATCTACATGTCTTTAATACCTTCAGGGATGGTGACTCAACCACAATATCTGACCACCCTTTCCATGATGAAATTTTGCCTAATATCCAATCTAAACCACTCTTGGAACAACTTGGGTCTGTTTCCTCTTGTCCTGTTTACCTGGGAAAAGAGACTGATTGTAATGGTCTTATTTTAATCTTTTTTTTTTCCCTCTCCAAACAGGCTGTATCTCCAAAAGAAGAAACAAAGACAGCAGGTAAATATCAGTATTCTATTCATATTGCTTCCATTTTGCTGTTTAAACTAGAGTAAGTAATTTGCTGACATGCACTTTGTTTGCTTACAGGCTTGGCAATTCTAAACTATTTTGATCCTGATAATGCATCTTTAAATATAATACTTTAAACATATTTTTTAGAAGTTCCTAGCTGCAGAACTTGAAATAATTGAGTATAACTGTGCCCCAAGGGTCTCATAATACAGTCTTAATTCAGTCAACTTCTGAGATCTGTTTCAACTATTTACAGGTTAAAGTTTTGGGCTAGAAAACATGTACTTGCTCATCTTCAGTTACCTACTGGTATTGGGACAGTTTGTCTCTAGTTAAAGTCATTTGGACTTGTGGGCATGGGTTCTTTTGGAAGACTTGTACGGGATACTTGATGCCACTTTATTTATACAAAGATGTTGATTTTAGTTTTCTCTATTAAACATACCTAGTATATAGGATTTCCACTGTACTTCTGTATAGTGTAATATGATGTGATAGTCATTAGTGTGAGACCAGAGTTGGAATTTGGAAAATATTGCAGAGCAATAACCAATTAGGAACTGACAAATGTTTTTTAGAACCACCGCCACCATCTAAAATTTCTAAAATTGAAACTTCACATCCACCAATACCTCCTGCACATCCCCCTCCAGGTAAGCTTTTATTTTCTTCAACACATTTACTCTTGTTGTTAATTGCCTTGCTTTTCATCCAGGTCATGGTAGGTAACAGTGTGGGGGCAGGGGATTGTTGCCTTGATTAATCAGCTTGGCAAGTTAAAATGTAAGTTCAATAAGCTCTAGAGGGAATTTCATGTTGCTAGCACAGGCTTTTCCAGACAGAAGTAAAAAACTTATGATGGAAACAAGACTATACTGGGTGGACAAGGGCAAAACAAAGCTGCAACTCTTAAAGGCCTAGGAGACTGAAACTAATTGTCAACAGCAGGCAAAAAGGGACTCGTGATCTCAAAAGGAAGGCAGATGCCATATTACATTACTAGATGGGCTTCCAGCTGTCCTGTAGAAGTCCTCTGTGCATCTGTATTCCTATACATCTGTAGTATAGGAATTCTGCAGGTGTGTCACTTCTAAATATAAGGGATACGTTCTTTGCTGCACATCAGAAGATGACTTTTATCTGCCAGAGAACAGTAACACTGCACACATGCCTTATGTTTGCAAAATAAACTGTACTGTTGTAAAAATGTGCTTCCAGCGCCTTGATGCATTAGCTGTCCTTCCAGTGACCCTTAAATATGACATAAATATTTTACAGACCACGGTCCATAATGTAACTGTAAGATGACAGCTCAGAACAGGAAAGTACAAGAGAGAAAAGCAGTGCTCTGAAATACAGTAGGACCATTTTTCCCAGTTGTTAAAATCTAATGAAGAATGAAGGGTTTTTTCTAAATACTATGTTCATTATTCCTTCAGTTGTTAAATCTTGAATGCACATATTGCATCCAGAATGGTTCTGAAAATAAGCAAATGGGGAAATTACTGCCTGCTATAATTTAGGAGCTAGAAGTCATTGAAATCATAGGTACCACAGCCAGCATACCCACCTTGCATGGTTAATTACATGGCTGTCCTAGGGGATGACTTTGCTGTTAAAATTATCACTGTTTAGATAAGGTAAATCCTATGTAAGCAGGTAATAGATTTATTTCCCTTGTTACCTAAAATTTTCTTCTTTGAATTTGTTTCTACAAAAATATGATTGTATGAGCATTGAAACATTTTCAGAATAGTCTTTAAAGGGAAACTGTTGAAAAATCAGGTGAAAACCAAGAATGCATATTGACAAAATTAACACAAATACTAGGAGATGGCTTTATCTCAAATTTTGTTTCACACTGACAGTTTAGTATGCCACCAGAAACGACTGCCCTATACCTGCTTCTAAATAATTTGTCTTATTGAACAATGTTTTAGATGCTTATATATATGAGCAAGATGGATGTCAAGATGCCCCAAAATCTTTTTTGTTGGCCATTTTAATACTGCCTCTCTGTCCATACAGAGAGGTTGCTATTAGGTCAGTCATCCTAGGGGTATTATTTACTTTATAGAGTCTGCATTAAGAGGGAGGAAAAAAAAAATCTTATTTAAAGAGAAGACAGCTTAAAACATGTCCTTTCCAGAAGTGGCCAAGTATAATTCTTTAAAATGCTGACCTTTTTATGAACTTCTTCAGAGTGTCAGGTGCTGAGTTCCCTGAAACTAATCAGTGGAACAAAGCTGATAAGATTTTATGTCCTTCTTACGTACCCTCTGGTTTTCTTTTTGTCTTTTTGTAAACAGGTGTAGAACTGAGTGTTAAAGACTTGAGACTTTGGCCTGTGTTCTCAAATAATATTTCCCAATATGGGAGGCAGGTGAAGTGCAGAGGGTAATCCCAGGACGCCTCCTGGACTATCAAAGAGGTAGAAAGGAGGCCTAGACTAAAGAAGATGGAAGCACTGATCAAAAGATTTTTGGTACCTTAGATCCCATGACTTTTTAAATCCAGTAGTTGTGATTCCGTCCATCCAGTCTGCTAATTCTGCTGATTGTGCAACATTATGTAAATTACAAGAAAATAGTAATAGGAAAGGAAACTGAATTTAACTATTAGAATGGGAAAAGCTGACCTCGAAGCTTTGTTAGGCAGCTTAGTTGTTTTTCAGTGACCTAAGAAGGTCTGACTGGATACCATGTGGCATTCAGAGACATAGAGAATTGAGTTCTCTTTTGCTATGTTAACTGGAAGAAAAATACGAAGTATTGAGAAGCTGTTATTGCCACTTCAAAAAAATAAATGAAATTTTCTCTTCCAGAGCGCAAGCCTCCTTTGACAACTGCGGTTTCAATGGGAGAACCAGAGCAATCTACTACTGTGGACTCAGTAGATATGCCAAAGGTCCAGATTCCTCCCCCTGCTCATCCTGCCCCAGTACATCAACCTCCACCTCTGCCACATCGTCCCCCACCCCCACCCCCCACCAGTTATATTACAGGGATGTCTACTACAAATTCTTACATGTCAGGGGAGGGTTATCAAAGTCTTCAGTCAATGATGAAAACAGAAGGACCAACATACGGAGCTTTACCACCGGCCTATGGACCACCAACTCATCTACCATATCATCCTCATGTCTATCCTCCCAACCCTCCACCACCAGTTCCACCTCCTCCCCCTGCTTCTTTCCCCCCACCCAATATTCCACCTCCTACTCCTGGATATCCTCCTCCACCTACATACAATCCTAATTTCCCACCTCCAAGACTGCCTCCAACTCATGCAGTACCACCTCATCCACCTCCAGGGCTGGGAATGCCACCAGCTAGTTACCCCCCACCTACTGTTCCCCCAGGTGGACAGCCACCTGTCCCACCTCCAATTCCACCACCTGGTATGCCACCTGTAGCAGGACTGGGACGTGCTACATGGATGAGATAGCATGAGGTAATTTGCACGATACCTTTATATTGACTAGGCAGGAGTAGCTAGCCAAAACCTACATTGTAAAGATGAAGAGGAGGGTAATCTGTATAATTTAGATGAAGAAATGAGAGTAAATGAAAATTTAGCTGATCTGTTTGCAGTATTGTTTATGGTGAGTTATATAGGCTTTTAGATTTTAATCAGCTTTGCAGTATCTATTCTAACTTTATACATTTGACTTAAGTTTAAATTGTCTTGACTTATTCCAGCACTGGATTACTTTGTACTAGCAAAACCAGCCATATTGGCTCAATTATATCAGTAAGAAGAAAATTTCCTTCTAGAAATCAGTGCCTATTTTTGAGTATCAAAATAGCCAGATACCATGATATGTGATCTATAATAAGAAACTTCATTTTTAGTAATAATTAAAAGAACATGATGTCAAGCATGAAAGCTGCTTTATTTAAGGGAGATTCTGAATGCTAGCTGACTGGAATAATTTTGAGGTGTTTGCCTTGCTGATAGTTTTGGTTTGGAATGTACTGGTATCTTAAAATATTGTATGTTTACACCTATTTGCAAATTCCTGTACATAATATATATATTTTCTAAGTGTTGAAGTCTGAATGTAACAGCCTACTGTGATGTACATCATAGTTATAAATGGGACTACTTTGTTCACTCTACCCAAATAAAATTGGTTCTGAATTTAGTGGATTTCCAGATTCTTCATATTAGTTCAGAATTCACAACTGTGGTACTTACTGCAAGATATTTCAGCAGTGGTCTCCCAAATCTTATTCATCAGTTTATTTAAAAAGAATGTATTTTATTTTATTCAGCTAGAAGTATACACTATCACAATCAATTTCTTACTTCATTTTTACTAAAATATTTCAAATGAATGTTTTACACACATTATCAAAAAAATCTGTACTATTACTTTCCCTCCCCAAAAAAGCCAGAGTGGTTCAATAATAGGTAAAAACGCGTGCTAAGGTCTAAAGAATTTTGCTATATACACAACAGCAGGTGCTAACTTTTCCAGTTCATTGTAATTCATATACAGAAAATATAGCAGGGCTGTAAGATCACAGGTTTAACAGAAATCAAACTTTAAACTGATTTCTAAAGCAGCACAAATAGACTTTCCCCACATTATGAAAAATATACAATTTTATCACTTTACAGTCATGCACTTTGAAAAAGATCAGTAGTACTCTTCCCCCACAGTTTCTAGAAAGATAAAAGGTCACTTTAACACTGATTTCTTTTAATATCTAATATTTGGATAAAAATGTGCCATTCTCAAACAAGGTTGTGCTCGGCAGTCTTATCAAGGTGCGAAGAGCCAACTGAAGCTGGTTACACTACAGCATTTCAGGAACTGTTAGGAAAAATGCTGCTTACTTCAGTCACTCCAACAAAAGTCAAGGATGTGATTTTACTTTCCTTAAGCAAGCAAAGTCCTTTTGTAAACAGTGGATGCTTTCTTTACCAGAGGATTGCAGAACCCAGGGCTTCAATCTTGAGGAAATTATCTTGGGCTATTGCGCCAAATATATCAATTTAATGGCCACTATTTCAAGGGATGCTCTCCTCCAACTTAATGTACAAAGCTCCTCAGGTAGTTTTCACTGGAGACTTAGCACATAGGTTAGTGAATTTAAATATGCATATAAAATACCTTTTAAACAGCTGAAAATTCAGCACCCAAGTCATCCCGTAAAGTCATTGATCATCATTTTACCCCAGGAAGACACTTTATAGCTCAAATAGAGCTAAGTATGATGAGTAGCAAGCCTAAAAACCTCCGAACAGTAACACCCCAAGGTACAGCACTGTTGTGTTCTTCTGCAAATTCAGTGATGCACATCTTACATTGAAGATGATGCTGCCAAATAGAATCTTAAAAAATCAATGGGCAGTACCCTAAGTATAAAGGTTGTTCAGATGAATTGCTGGCTACCCTGTAAACTGGCTCTTCAGGATTACTGAATTGACCTCAATTGCAGCACTGTTTCCCTTGTAGGTGAGATCTGCGGGTAGAACAAAACAAGCTTTGCTTGAAGTCATTGAATAGACTTTGAGAGAAATTTGATAGCAGGAAATATTTGAATGGGAATTACATAGCTGGTGAGACCAGTACTCTGATTAATGTAGCTCTTCTCTTGTGGAGAGGACCTGCTAGCCTAATATACGCCTTAAACAGCAAGCATGTCATCAACACAGTTAACTCTCTTCAAGTGCTGGCAACGTTTGCGTTGCTTTAGTTAAAATTCACTGACATAAGATAACCTTGTTCCAAATATACTTAAATTCTCTGCTTAATCCAGTGATTAGATGCCACCAAAATTAAAATGGGCTTTCAAGCAGATAGATTAAAGTAACCCTGTTTGACATTAGATGCTAAGAAAGAATGATGCCTCTGCTTTGCATCACCTTTTCTGGTATGGAAATCTCAAGGTACAAATCGTACAGCAGGAAGACAAGTAATTGTCAATGGTGACTAGAAACTGGAGGTCAAAACAGAAAGCGAAGATGGGGAAATCCAGAATCCTCTAAAGTTCCTGTGCCTTAAGGCTCTAGACTCTAGAATGGATTTTTCCAGACTCCATGGGATGTAAATACTATTAGACTGAGAGCTAGCTAGCTCAGTGTTCACTGACTGAGCAATAGTAAGAAATAATCTACTGGTGAGTGTGTGAGTGAGAATATGCACTTGAGTTTCGGGGGTGGTTCTTGGTTGTTTTTAAATAACCTACTCAACTGTTACATTTTTATTTCTGCAACAAATAATGACGTGGTTCTTACTCTTATGGGTTACTGTGTATTTCGGTTGTATTCCTTCTCTATTTTTTTACTGGTTACAGGTTTCGGCTCTTGACACTGCAAATTCTTCACCCAGGCAGCTAGTTTATTGTACGCCATGGGACCAATTACCTTTCATAAGTTGCAGCATGGGCTCCTTGGTATTGTATCGGTGCTCCTTGTTTATACAATGCCACAAGTCAAGAACTCAACTGGTAGAACAAATTAATTTAAGAGGAAGAACCTGTCCAGCTAATTCAGCTGTCTGTAGCTGTGACTGATTCTTACAGAGAATAAAAGGAAAGGAATGGTGTTTGAGGTCATTACATCTTCAAAATAATCACTAAAATCAATGCAACTTTTGAAGAGGAGGCTTTGATCTTTTCACATGCCTGTCTTTAAAATTATGTTACAGAAATGAGTTCTAATAACGAAGCCCCGCTTCCTTGGACTATTGGGAAAGAACATCTAATGAAATACAGGGACAGCTGCTGTGACAACTTGGAAAAGGAGGGAGTCAAATTCTTACAACTACACAGGCAGCTACTCCACAACAGCAAAATATAACTTCCATTGTTTTATATACAACCATTTGAAGAAGGAAAAACTCACTTGTTTTGGTTCATTCACAAAAATAAAGCTTGAATGGCAGGAAGCAGTCTCACCTGACAGCCCGTGTTTATGGAGTTTTTATTCAGCTCTGCAAGGTTGTTGTTTGGTTACCTTACACAGGAACCAGTATAGGTGAGGGATCCAGCAAGAACATTAAAAAAACCCACCCAAATCTTCCTTATGTGAAAGATGAGCTGCTCTTGAAGATCCTGTGAAAGCCATAAGCACTGCTAGGATGGCAGTTTCTGCTGAATTACTTTGTAGTGAAAGCTTTATAGGAAAAGTGTTGCCATATTTGTAGGGAATACTGGTGTGTGGCTAAATGACTTCATTCACATTACAACTGCAGAAATCTTGTGTCATTTGTTCATGAAAAATAGTTCATTAACAGCTGATACAGAGTCTCAAGCCTTTCTGTACGCTTGTGTGATGAGCACCACCATACAAAGTATGGTGGTACAAGTGTTTTTAGCTTGCCACTCAATGTTTTACACAGAGCCTTGTGAAAACAGTTGCATGTCATTCTTCAAAAGAAGGACCTCCAAAAAAAGTGTTAGCAGCTCATGAACTTGGCAGGCAGTAAGCCAATGAATTTGACTTGCATTTTCCTTGGAAAGTGCTGCCTGGAGCCACTAACCCAGCTATGAATCACTGACAAGTGGGTGGACAGGAGCAGTACAAACGGTGACTTCTCCGCAGGTCAAGGGTTCTTCTTGTTCCTCTTAGAAATTCTCTGGAGTTAGTTAATTCTACAAACAGACCATTACAACAAAGCAGATTTGGACTACAATACAAATGATGCAAGTCTGGCATTATTGGATGGTTACCCATTGAACAGTAGTTCCAGAGCACCACAGCCTGGAAATCAGGCCTTTAGCTGCCATATTTACACTATTGTTACAAAAAAAAGCTGGGGAAAAAAAAAAGAAGAAAAAGGAAACCCTGAAAAAAACTCAACCCCAAATCCTAAAGAACAGGCAGCCAGAAACACTGAGCTCTGCCTCTTTAGTCTTCACAGAATCCATCACTTCCAGTCACCAGGATGGTGTTCCTACAAGGGACCCTTGAACTGGTTTCCTGACAGATGTTGCCTGATGGAGGGTTTGGAGCTCGCAGCATCACCCAGCTTTCGCCAGACAACCTGTAAGAAAAAATAAAGTCATGGGGGAGAGAAGACAGGGATTAAAAAAACCCAAACATCAAAGCCTCTGAGGAATTGCAGTATTTTTTTAATTGCAATTGAAGTCAAAACCAGCCCTTTCCTGGATCTGGGTTGCAATTCTCAGCAGGGACACTGGATGGCATCTGTGCACCACTTTCCAAGAAAAGAAACCATTGATGCATTTTTCTAATTAGTCCCTCTTGAAATTAGAACCGTTTTTGCCTGGGGTAATAGTATAAAACAAATACACTAGATTCAGAAGTTAAGTTCAATGGAAGGTCAACCCTGCCATGCTCACAGAAAAGATGCTACCATGAACAGAAAAGATAATGAAAAAGATAATGATTAAAATTATATACACATGACTTTCTAAAACCATACATTTTATCCCTCTAGGGCCGCTGGGGTAAGGGAGACAATTTAAAAAAAAAAACAAACTGCAAAACACTGCCTTGAATCTACATAAAATGAATATTTAAAGAAAAAACAGCTGATGAGAGACAAATAGAAATGAGTCAATTCTGGAGGATGAAGTTATGGTATTTTACTTTTCCCCTAGCATAGCTATAAGGGACTGTGGCATCAATATCCTAAAAAGCAGGCTCTCATTTACTCTGGTCTTGGCTCTGCTTATAGGGATCCAGCAACCAAAGTGAAGTGCCTCCACCCTTGCCAAGGATGCTCGCAGTGATTTAGCTCTGCAAGATGCACTTGTGTTCTTTCTACCCTCCTTTTAGGATTGAGGTGTATTTCAGAATTTATAACAGTCTTGGGCTCCTCTCAACTGCTGGGAGGCACTAAATGATGCCACTTGGGCTGACCTCCAGCGTAAGCTTTAAAAAAAGAAGGCTTGTAAGCATCATCCTCCCTGCTGTGGGCACTCAAACAGCACATCCCCAACTCTAGGCAGCGTGCAGCTCGGGCTGTGCTCTAGCAGAAATCCCAAACTCTTTGTTCAAAGCCAGAGCGTGGCCAAGGTGCTTTGAGGCTGGAGGCAATGCCACCCAGCAGACACCGCAGAGCAGTGGTTTGGTACAAGCACTCACCATACAGGATGTGGCCAGCTCAGTTAACAGTGTGGTTGCCCAAAACATTGGCAGGGCTAATAGCACCCCACGTATCATAAGAAGAAAATTCTCTCTCTGATGTTATCTTATGGTTTAGGCTCTAACCCATTCAAGCTGTTTGGCTTTAAAGATGGCAATCAATTGCTGCTTGGCCCAAACCACATCCCTAAGGGCACAGGTGGAGACAACTGCTAAGAGGACTCTTCTAGCCAGGGAGAGCCCCTTGCACATCTCTCGGTCAGCTACAAGAGCTACTCCACAGCCTTGAAGGCAGCAAAGTGGGAACTATCTGCTGAGCAAAGGCTGCTCCGTGCAGTGAACAAGGCACTCATGTTACAGACACCCAAAACAGTGGTCAGCAGAGCCTCCACTCTTCCCTTGTGCCTGTGGGCCTCACAAGGCTTACACCAGCAGATCCCTGCTCCTCCATACTTCTAACAAATGACCACAAAAGGAACCCCAAGAGTTGCTGAGAGGAGTTATTACATTGCACATTTCACGAACAATCGCCTTCTCCTTTTCACTTAGGTCTTCTTCATAATTGTCTTGCATTTGCCTGTCCAGATTTTCATGGACCTCAAGGACCTACAAAAAAACAATATTAAAAAAGCATTATGATCCTCAAATAATTATGTGTGTCCCTGAGAATATCATTAACAAGTACTTAAACTGGCAGGATTCACAAAGCCTCAAGACGAGCAAAGACGAGCGTGACACCAAACACCAAACTTCCATCCTCCCTGTTCCCCTGCGATGTCCTGCCTCTGTCCCACCACCTGCATGTTGTTGCTGCTGCCACAGTCCTGGGGGACCATGTGACAATTGGCATCAAGTTGCCTGTGTCCACAAGCACATCTCTTCCAGGAAGGCTGTTGGTAGCCCCACGTTCCAGGCAGCCCCCCAACAAGGCAGCCCCCCAGCAATTTGTGCTCCCTCCTTTCCCGTCTTTCACAGGAGTAGGGCTACTCTACTCCCTCCTACTAATCCAAGACATGGGGCAACTACAGTGAGCTCAGGCCAGCAGCCTTTAGGTCTGACGGTGTTTTGGCCTTCAGGGAAAGAAGGGAACAAAGGTTTGTACCACTGAAAATCCCACTGTGCAGCTGAAGTACGTGGTCTCCAATCAGTCACAAATTTGCAGATCTTAAACAAACATGGCCAATTTCACTCGCCTTTTGGCTGAAAATTGTTTCTAACTCAGTTTCTCAAGGGAACCCCTTGGAGACCCACAGTGACAGCAAGAGTTGGGCTGTTACAATAGAACCCTCAGACCCTGAGATTCCTATGTGATTCCCAGCTCTTTCCCACTCCCCCTTTGAACTGGTTGCAGCCAGGATGTGAAGGGGATGGAAACAGGATGGGGAAAAAAATCTACTGCCTCCCAGGACCCTGCGTGATGACTGCAACTCTCTGAAGGTGCCATCCCCATTAAGTGCCAGGATGATTCCAGGCTACCATCTCCTTGTGCCACAGCTACCCTCTGAAGATGGAGCTGATCACTTCAACACCCTAAGCTTTACTTGAATCTCCATCAGCACCACTTCCACTCACAATGCTCACATGTAAAGGTAAGGGCCTTGGCCAGAGCTGGCACATAAGTGCATTGCCTGCACACACCCCTCCACCCAGGATTGCAGACACAGCTAGAGAGTAACACCAGCTGCTCAGTGAGTTCATCTGGTGCAAATACAGATGCCCCCAGCCTGCACCCACAGAGTGGTGAGGCCAGGCACATGCCTGCAGCACCCTGCCCACAGGCGACTCTAGGGGAGTGAAGTATCACTTTTCCCTCCTGCTTGTGACTATGGGGCTTTTCCCATTATATTCATGAGATGAAAGCACTGTGAAAAAATGGAGACATGGCTGTAAAAGGACAGCCCTTGAAAGGGAGCGGGAGAAGGATTTGAGACTCTCCAAGAGGGCTCCACTCTGTGGCTCGGAGGGTATCTCCACTGGGCACTCCCAGATCTGGGAAGAAGCAGGTTTCCTTGAAGAGGCAGAGAGGTGACAGCTGCAGTAGTGACATGCCAGAGTGACACATCCAGTGCTCATGTTTGTGAGCTCCTGGATGCCACTCAGCCAGGTGGCTGGGCCACACCTGCAGATTTGCTTTGGGAAGACAAGTAAATGTGCTGTGAAAGCAGCTCAAAACACTGCAAAAAAATAGTGGAAACATCCTGCCTGTGACTTATTATCTTAGATTTCAGCCTGGCAAAGTTTGGAAATAGAAGTGTGACTTTTAACTTCTTTGCCTCAAACAGCACTTGGAGATATGCTCCCTGGGCACTGATTCCCAGGCCACACAAGTCTGATAAGATGCAGCAGGTCTGTGTGGTTGTTGTGCCCCACCATGTGCTGCCTACACCCTGCACCTCCACAGCAGCTCAAGGGGGAGCCAGCCCTGGCCCGCCACATCCCACCTGGGGCACATACTATCCTGGCCACCTCCACAGAGCTCCTCCAGAGAGGCAGTGCCCAGCTGTGGCCAGGTGGTCCCTTGATTACAGAACAGAGGCTGCCTGGGGCTAAAGGCAGCCTTCACTTCCCGCTGGAAACACACTGACCCGAAGAATACCCCTCCATCACATCAGCATGCATTCAGAGAGCTCCTCTGGATGGGCATATTGCACAAGCTGGGCATAACTCAGTGCAGGACTGCCTCCAGATTTTACTGCTGCCTCTATACACCTCGCCCAGGGCTTTGCCACTGGTGAGCAAGGTGGTCAACTCAGCGTGCAGGGTCAGAGCTCCTGGAATTACCCAATGCCATCAAATAGCACAGCACATGGTCTTATTCGCCACAACACATCCATATGCATGTGAAGATACGACAGGTGTAGTTGTATGCACAAATATTCCTATACCTCCTAGGGGAGTACAGAGCTAGATGCAGTGGTAGGGTGGTTTCACTCTTTGCTGAAGTGTACAGCAAAGGCTTCTCCATGAAATGGGATACCAGGGTAGATTATCCCCTGGTCTGCTTCAGCACAGCAATCTCGTTGTACTGGAACTGTGCTACAAACAAAAATAGGTCATTCTCCTAGGGCCCTTAACCCACTTGGGACCAATCTTTGCACATATAAGAATTATCTACATCCTTTCTAAGAGGAGAGGAAGGGCAAGAGGGATGCAAAAAGCATGTATGTGCTGACAAAGGGAGCATCTATATTTTGCTAAAGAGGAGGGAATTAATTATTGATTCAGCTGGACTCACACATTGAACTTGCTTGTCTGGAGTCCGTGTGCTTCCGATGCTGGCTGCAAAGCCAGCAGCCTGCAGAATCACATCCTGGCGTGGAGCGCCAGGGCTGCCTGGCTGACAGCTCAGCACTGGCTGTGTCCACAGGGCAAGCGTCAAGGACAGCCATGGTCTAGGTTAGTTAAAGATCACATCAGCTCCAGCCTCTGCTTCACACAGCCATCCATCTTACAGGCACAGGAGTCTCAGTGGACTAAAATAAACTGGTTTTCTACTACTTGTGCTTAAACTAAAGCCACATTCCTTAGTCCATGAGGTGTGAAAAGGTGGCACAGTGTATTTCTTTCAGTGGAAATGTCTTTTAATAGTGTTAACCAGGCAGAGCTGGAGCTTGAAGCTGATCAGATGGAAGTTATGTTTGTACTTAATTTCTGAATCTCATTTACTCTGGAAACCATTCAACAGCCTACCCTGGAAAGGCATGTTGGAAGAAAATGCACTCTGAAGACTGAAATCACCTCCTGAAGAAAGACAGGAAGGCCTTTTCTTAGTGCTGACCCAGCCTCAGCCATTCTTAAATCCTGCCAGGTGCCTTTTGGTCTGTTTAGAAGGAGCAGGTTAATGTTCCTCCAGTTACACCACTGGGGACTACGGACATACCTTCACATCAGCTGTCTATGGCTCAGCTAAAGTTCAAGGACTGTGCATTCAGTGTGGGTTTAAGAAACTGGGGTACATCCTCCTGTGATTTCTGATGCTTCCCAACCCAGGGAAACTTTCTGAAGACAACATGCACCTTGCTCTCAATGAGCATGCTGGCTCATCTGGCTTTCTCCCTGCCAATACATAAAATAAGGAACATCTCAGGTGTTCTTTGTGACTGCACTGACCTCTGTGACCAAGGCAGTGTCACCTCAAAATCACCAGGTCCATCACATCCACCTCCTTTCTGACTTGCTGTACTGGCCCCCCATGGCCAAAATATAAACATATTTTAAAAACAAACCAACAATCAAAAAAACACCACCAAAGAGTCCAAATGACAGTAACAGCACGTTGGAAGAGGAGTTGAAAGTTGAGGTACTCATTTCTGTGACAAAAAGCACTCTGGGATTGAGGAATGCTTTCCAAAGGGTGCAAACCTCACTGAGTTTGTTGATTCATAAGTCAACTGAACAAAGCACTGGGGAACACAGCATCCTACTTCAACAGTGGAACAATCCATATGACCTGCTAGGATTTTTCCCTAGTTTTGGAAGGTTAAATCCTACCTTACCCACAATTAGTGGGAGTGATGATCACCTGCTTGATGGCTCTGTGAGCATGGAAGAGGTCCAGGCTGCTGCTGTGGGGGCAGCTGGGTTATAGGCTAAATGTCGTTCTCTTACATTTGTCTCCTCCTCACCTCCCCATATCTTTAGCAGGTTTGCTCAGTTCCTAAGAAAAGTGCTTTGATGTTCAGTGAGATACTGAACTGTAGCATGTGTACCTTTTATTCTTGTTAGCAAAAACAGCTGTTAGAAGTGCCAACCTGTCGTTCTGCTCCTTATTTAGTAAGTGCAAACAAACAAAACTATTTCAGAAGCAAAAATAAAGAAAACCCTAAACGTGTTCAAGGAAGAACTTATGGTAAATTGTAGGCAATGCTTCAGCCACATAGATAGCATTCAGCTGCCAGAAAATCCTAAGGAAAAAGCCTGGGGTACATTACATAGGTGGGTGCAGACAGAAGCAATCCAGAAGCCCTGCAAATCCATGTGGAGTGCACAGTCCCTCAGTGACCTTTGCGTGGGCACAGAGCCGCGTCCTGGCGGCCACATCACTTCTGGACAGACTTGCATGCAAGCATCCCACAAGACAAATGAAGCCAGCTTCATAGAATCACAGAATAATAGAATGGTTTGGTATGGATGCCATGCACTAGATCAGGTTGCTCAGGGCCCCCCATCCAGCCTGGCCTTGAACACTTGCAGGGATGAAGCATCCACAACTTTTCTGGGCAACCTGTCCCAGTGCTTCACCACCCTGTGAGTTAATGAATTTCTTCCCAACATCTAATCTAAACCTGCCCTCTTTCAGTTTAAAACCATTGCCCCTTGTCCTGTCATTACCTGACATAAAAGTCCCTCTCCCTCTTTTTTTATAAGCCCCCTTTATGGTACTGGAAGGTGCTATAAGGTTTCCTTGAAGCCTTCTCTTCTCCAGGCTGAATAACCCAAGCTTCCTCAGTCTGTCTTCATAGGAGAGGTGCTCCATTCCTCTGATAATCTTCGTGATCCTTCCATCTCTCTTTGCCTTTCCTTACAGTAAGGAGCTAACCTGCTAGAGCCATAAGGACTTCCTTTCACAGCCAAGAAGGGCTTTCTCTAGTATCTGATGTGGTATAGGCAAAGCACAAAGTCTCATTTGTAGGCTGCTCTCTTCTCCTCCTCAAGGGAAAGTCATATCACAGGAGGTGAGAGTCTAAGCTAGTAGACCAGCTACATGACAGGGGTGGCACTGGAAAAGCTGCCCAGTTCTGCAGGGTGCAACTAAGACCCACTCCACATGCTACAGCATGCTATGGCCAAAAAACCAAGCTGGAGCTGGAGACCACCAGCTCACCACATTTCACTGTGCCACAAGGGAGAAGAAGAGATTCAGACCATGACCAGTTTCCTCAGTCTTTTCAGTTTTCAGATGATCCTTGGAAATGGGCCATAGGATGAAAAACTAAACACCTTCTCCTCCCTCCACACTGACCTGCAGGAGAATTTCCTCCTCACTTCAATTGTGAGAATATTTTTAACCTCAAGTGAGTGAGCAGGACACATCACGTGAGCTCATTTATGCCCCAGGAGATGTGACTGCTATTTCACCCGCTTCCTGACTCAAGCCATGGCACTTGAAGACAGACAAATTTACCCCACTGGCCAAATTATGAAATCACAGAGAATTTCATCCAGCTCTTTCTAGGAATCAACAAAGCTCTGAAGTAGAGGGATTAATAATATATGAAAACAACCAGTCATCCAACTTCATTTCAATTGCTTTATATGAGTCATTGCACCAGACCTTCCAAACCTAATTTTCAGTTTCCAAGAATCTTCCTCGTTAATTTCCAATCCTTTCCATAAGCTCATCAAACTGCATCTTAAAACCATTTATGTTTCTTGCCCTTACTAATAAATTCAGTCCTGTCATTCCTAAAGCAAATAAGAACCTAATTTCTCCCCAGAATATGATCATAATCAATTTATAAGTATTTGATCTTGTAATTTAAAAACATTGCCAACTCTGCTTAATACTATCCCTCACCACCACCTCACCAAGTGCAATGAAGAGTAGGAACAGAAAGGTACAAACCCCACAGTTTGGGAAGAAAAAGCCCACAGCAGTAGTCTGGACTGCGTCAGGGCTTGGATGACTAAATGTAATAAAAAACAAATTAGTACAAAGTGTCAGAAAAACAAAGGTATCACATGAGTTTGCAATGCTGTGCAAGGCATCAGGCATCAGCATTTAGTTCACTGCTGTCACCTCAGAGACTCAGTTTATGCAGGACTGATGCACAGAAAGGGTAACCAACACCTTCAGCATCAGAAGCTTTTGTTGGAGGCTTCCCACCTCCAAAAAATAGCTGTGCATAATCTTGCTTAGCCCTGCAACTATTTGAAGCAATGATTATTCATCATGATACAGGTGCTGGTTACCAGTAATCTGCCTGAGTATTAACTTTCTATTTTCAGTTGTTTCCACAAAAAGAGCAAATGCCCAGTTCTGCCACTCAGCTTGTTGCACCACCTGGCACTGCACTGCCTGGCTGTGGGGGTCTGCACAGCCTTACCTTCATAGCATGCACCACAGCCTCTGGCTTCTGACCAACAGGGACATACCCTGTTGCAGGAGAAGATGCAAGATCAGATGTCATGCGACCCGGTCCCTGTTGAAATAAGAAAAGATACGCTTTAATTCCCTTTAGGTGATTTAAATGAGGAGAAAGAAAATATCAAAAAAACTTGAGCACTGGTTTGTCTCAAATTCAATCCCCTTCATCTACCTGCAAAGACAAAAGACACCATCACCCCTTCCTCACAAGCCACTTGATTTAATGCCACTTAAGCGTACCATCACTCAGTCTAGAAGTATTCAGGCAGGAGATCACCCTGGTTTAAAGCTAAATTGATTCAAGAAACATTTTTTTTGCTCCCTTAGGATAACTTTGTACAAGGACAAGATCAAACACTAGTCATCCTTCTAGACAAGGGAGTAAGGCAAACAAGATGATTTTCCAGCTTAAAAGAGTCATTTCTAAGAAGCTGCATTTATGAAAGAAACAGTTGGCATAACTTCATTGCTTCTCTGGCAACGTTTTCCCATGGACATCAAGTACCAATCTTCAGCTACAGAGAAAATTGTGAAAGCAACCTTAAAACAAGCAGATGTACAAACCTAATGTTGGTTGGGTTTGTTTCCAAAATGCTGGCCAGTCCTCCTGCATGAAGGGTCCCATTGGGAAAGATGCCGAAATTACATTCTACAAAAGATTTCTGCTGTCCAACCAGCCTTGTAAGCACTTTTCATAGGGCTTGCCTTTTTTTACAGGCATCCAGTTTGGATTATGAGAGACACAATATCTTTATTCAATGAGATGCACCCTGCCTGTCCCTAATATTTTTGCATTGCTTTGTAGCACTGGGAGAAATCAACAATGAAGTCATTGACCAAACTTGTATTTAGTCTTCACATCCTTTAGGAAACACAAAGAATTATTATACTTGGGGGCCTCTGAAAGCAAATTAGGATGGCAGAGCGGCATGTAGCACCATCCCAGGAATGCTTTCACAGACAACACCAGACACTCAATTCTCGTTTTTTCCCTGTTTAAAAACACAGCATGTTTTATGCTTTGTCTCATCATTTTGCCTTCTATGCAAGCTAGCTAAGCCAGAAGAATCATAGAATAATAGAATCACAGAATGGTTTGAGTTGGAAGGCACCTTAAAGGTCATCTAGTTCCACCCCCCCTGCCATGGGCATGGATGCCATTCACAAGATCAGGTTGCTCAGGGCCCCATCCAGCCTGGCCTTGAACACTTGCAGGGAAGGGATGGAGCATCCACAACTTTTCTGGGCAACCTGTTCCAGCCCCTCACCACCCCCACAGTAAAGGAGGACCAATGGAGGGGCACTTCATCACCTCTCATTCTTCCAAATGTTTTAAGTTGTAGGGGCCTTTTTACCAATAAAAGTGTTCGTGTGCATATATTAAAGAAAAAGATGGGCTAATTCACTAGGCTACAGACAAAAAGGCGTGGAGCCTTTCAAGCCCCGGCCACTGATCTGTGTTTAACCCACATCATGACCAACAGCCATTTACTCATAACAGCAAACTTCATGAACTGATTTGCTGGTGATATAAAAACTTCCTTCTCAGAGGAAGACATCTCAGAAAAAGGAAAGTTAGACTTACTAACCCCACAATAATTCTCCAAGGTTATTTAACAGACTGGGAAAGCAGAGAGACCCAGAGACGCTCACATGGTTCTGGACCTGCTGGCAGAGGGTTAGTGCTTGTTGCAGCTATGCCCACCTAGGGACATGTCCTCAGCAACCCCATCCATAACATCACACAGAAAAGGCAGAGGCTGGGGAGGGAGTACTAAGGGCTGGATCCAGCCAGTCCACAACTGGCTGCAACTTAAGACTGTAAAATGGGTTAAAAATTTCTCATGGGGCTGGTAAATGCAACAGAGTCCTTTCAGAATCAGCATCTCACAGAGGTCAAAGACACCAATACAGGCGTAATTATTCTGATTTCATCATGAAAGCTGCTTTCTTTCCAAGAATGACCAGAATCATGACAATTGAAAGCAGAATATTCAGGAGTTTGTGGCCACTAATGATACTTGATATGAATCTTCCCCCATGGCCCTTTTCATAAGTATCACAGGAAATACCAAGGAAAGGTCTAACATCCAATATTTCTGAGAGTAATTTGACAAAGTAAAAGGAATTCTGTTGGATACTGCTGCTGACAACATTTTAAATACAGTTTTCTGGTCAAACTAGAGTAGATCACGAAGTCTTCTGTATGACAGGCAGCAGTAGCTTCTCCTCACAAAACTGAAGTCACTAATGAGCTACAAAGCACTTCTATGATCGCAATCACTCTCAAAATTATTACAGAATACAAATGAAACCAGAATGATTAGAGAGAAATGTTTTCTAAAGAGCTTGATCATACCTAACCAATCACCATACTGACAAGATAAAAGTAATCCTTGCAAGAACAGTGATGCACTGGATATATTGTATCACATAAAAAAACATTCAAAGGGTCACCTTTCTTCTCAGACAAGTGGTTGAAATCACACAAGGTCAATCAATTGAGCAGCCTGTGAACACAGGCAGAGGATTTGACTGAAGAAGGGAAAAATAATGTTAAAGAATGAAGGATGCAGCAAAAGAGGTAGACCCAAAACTTGCAGTCAGAGTCTAAGTGACAGATTACTTCATTTCTAAAATAGGCATGATCCTTGATCCTTAGCTTGGAAGCCAAAGCCCCGAGCCAACTGAAACAGATGCCCAAATTGCTGAGTGCAGTCATCAGCAATGGCAAGTGCACCACACAGCCATGCCACTGCCCGCTGTGCCCCAAGCCACAGAGACCTCACCACCATGCCAGGCTGTTGCTACAAAAGGCCAAACATGCACAGAAAATGGGGGAGCAAGCAAGGATCTCACCAACATTCCTGCTCTTTGCAACTGTAGGATGCAACCAGAAAAAGCAACCACCTTGCTAAGGCTGGCTTAATATTTATGACTGCACTTAGTGTTTTTGTGCAGCTGCGCCCTTAGGAAAAGCTCTTTCTGGAGACACAAGGAGCTGGCATTTTTTAAAGGGGGTTGGTGCTTCATTCCCACTGATTTCAGTGTGGTCCACAAAAAAAAAAGCTTCAGCCAGACTCCTATCAGCTTCCTGCATAGTGGCACACATAAAGGAGGCCAGAATAGACAGGACTGCAGTCAGCAAGGAAAGAAATGACAACATATCCAGCAGGATGCACGGTCAGCCTTTGGAGGATGGAGGAGAGGAAAACGGGCAGAGTTCACCGATACTGTTAGCTGAAGGGGAGGAAATGGAAGGAATTGGAGATAAGGTCAAGGTTACTATACTGGAAAACTGCCAACACTGGGAGAAGGGAGGGAATGGGAAGAAAGAGGAGGATGTGTATTTTGCCCAGCAGGAAACCAGCTGAGGTGAAACTCAGGGGAGAGGGAACCAGAGATCAGAGATATGAGATTGGAAGAAGGGCAGGAGGCCAGGGGAAATCTCAAGAAGTCAGCATTAAGGCAGTAGGTGAAATTGCACAGATGGAGGGGATTCCTCATGCCTAAAACAGATGCATTTGGAAACTGGGTAAGAATTACCACAGCTGCACCCCAGCACTCTAACTCAGCTAATCTGAAGACATCCATCACTGCAGAAACCCATGCCCTTCCTGTTCCCTATAACTAACATTTTCACAGCCATGGGAACACAACTGACTCAGCACCCTGACAGACAATAATAGCAAGGTTAATCTGGTTATATCCCAAGAAGAAGAAATTGTCCATATAGGCAAAAAGCAATATGGTGAGTTTTGGGGCATGCATCACTCTCAGTTTCCTCTCCCTGTCTGGTTATCTCAAAGACACCGTCTTTGTATGGACATATGGCTTTTCCACTTTCTAGGTTTTCATAGTGTTTGGTAGCTCAGAGATGGTTCAGTCTTCAACTTCAGACATGTGGCTGAGGCACCTCATAATTATATAAATGAATGGTGCTATAAGACAGCTCAGAAATCACCAAAGAGGATGCCATTAAAATTTATAATAAAGTTGTTGAGAAATAGTATACTCCTTTCTGCTTCAGCCACAGCCACAGTCACCCCACTTAAAAGGAAGACCTGCCCAGTGGTGAGATCACCAGTTTAATTAAGGTGGGGGGAGGGGAGGCATCCAGGTCAGGTCTCTGAGCTCCAAAGCACTTGGAGCAAGCACCTGTATTCCCTATGTACAGGGTTTGTTGACCACTGCACCCTGAAGGCCCAAAGATACTTCTCCAAGATACATTTTAAGTAGCAAAAGTCCTAGGGAAGCAGAGGCTTGGAACCGTGTGTGACCCATCCAATGCTTCTTTGGCAAGTTGGTGCTTTTGCTTCTCTGCAGATCACTGTGGCTGTTCAGAACACTCAAGACTGTTGTAGCATGGATCTCTGATAAGTTCAGCCCTGGAAACAACAGCCCTATCTCTGCTGCCAGGATGGTTCTGGGACTGCAGTGTCCTGAGAGGATCCTGGTGAAGCTTTTTGCATCCCTCATGGGAGGCCAGTGCCAAGTATACCCATATCCAGGCCCCCTCCCACTGGGGAAACAGCAACAAGAGCTATTCCTTTGCAACCTCTGTGCAGACAGCAGTACTGAAGTACCATCGAACACATTCCCCTTTCAGCCCTTGCTTGCTCCTCCATTTCAAGCACATCAGTGCCAGATATTTGGTGGTATTAGTGATGGGACCAATGCACTTCTCAGAGCTTACTGTTCCCACACGCCATCAGTCCCCTCCCCATTCCACCAACCCCATATTGTGCATGCCCAAACCACAAATCCATCAGAGAAGCTAAATTCTGTTCCAGACCCTCCCAGAAACCTCTCACTGGAGCCTGCTGGGCTTGTGGTTCAGTCTCCAAGTCTGTAAGGAAATTCACAGTCCAGCTGTATCACTGACTAAGAAAGAGAGAATCTCTGTAGGTTCTCATGCCAGAGCATTCTTGAAGCTATATTCTACACACAGGGGTAAGTTCCCCAGTTCTCTATTGCTAGAATGATGTTTGATCCACTGACAGCCTCCAATCCAAAGCAGAAAACAAAGCAAATCAAACTAGCCCCATTCACTGC